GTGTGGACAGTGACGTGTTGCCATCGGGGGGGGGGAGCTGGGTTCAGGACTAACTTTGTATATAGTCTAATTTATTCTCATTATTACTATTATTACTAGTGGTAGTATTAAAACTGTTTTCTTTTCTAATCAACAAGTCTCTCTCCCTTATTCCCTTTCTCTTTCCCCTTTGGGGGGGGAGGGGAGGGTTAACAGAGAGCGTCTGTTATGGTTCCGGGGGCTGCCCTGACCCCAAACCACGGCACCAGCACTGCCTAGTCCACCACTAAACCTGGTCCCTCAGTACCACATCTGGATGTCCCTTCAATCCATCCAGGGATGGTGACTCCACCACTGGGTAGGGTAGCTTGGTCCTGGCTTGACAACCCTTTCAGGGAAGAAATTGTCCCTAATATCCAACCCATATCCTCCCTGGTGCATCTCGAGGCCATCTCCTCTTGTCCTGTCGCTTGTTACTTGGGACAAGAGACCAACCCCCACCTCACTACAACCTCTCAGGCAGCTGCAGAGAGCGACAACATCTCCCCTGAGCCATCTTTTCTCCAGGCTAAAGAACACCAGGTCCCTCAACCACTCCTCAGAAGTCTTGTGCTCTAGACCCTTCACCAGCTTGGTTGCCTTTCTCTGAACATGCTCTAGCACCTCAGTGTTCGTCTTGTAGTGAGAGGCCCCAAACCGAACCAAATATTTGAGGCGTGACCTCACCAGTGCCAAGTACAGGGGGACAATCCCTTCCCTCCTTCTGCTGGCCACATTGTTTCTGATACAAGCCAGGATGCCATTGGCCTTCTTGGCCACCTGGGCACACTGCTGACTCAAGTTCAGCTGACTGTCAACAAACACCTCCAGGTCATTTTCCTCCAGGCACGTTTCCAGTTACTCTTCCTACTTTACTGAGGAAATTTCCTAAGTTACCGATTAGAATGATGCTTTTTGTTAAGCATCTCATGCCATCAATGCCATCAATAACTTGAGTTCTATTTGACACAAACATCAGTTTCTCCACTGGAGTATCCGGGACTATGTGGTCGACACAGCCTGGCTCAAAGCCTGGGCAGGTAACTCATGAAACATCTGTAGAACCAGGTAGAGTTCAAGGACGATCTCTGCAGCAAGGTGCTCACCTGGTAGGACAGAGCTGATGAAGACTCCTATACTGTCACCAGCAGAGCAGGAAACTGGATGACCCACCAGTTCTCATCTGCTGTTAGAATTTTACAAGACTGGACTTAGAAAAACCTTTGGAAAGAGAGATCTGTGTGGTACAGCATTTGGATCAAAGAAATTTCAAAGAAACCATCTGGCAATTTTAACACATTGAGTTTACATTTTTTTCCACCTAGAACATTCTGTAACCTCCAGCCTGGGAGGTAGTGAAGGCACATCTCCAGCATCTTGGACGAGTGCTCCTGTCATTAGTTGTCCACATAAAGCTTTGACCAGCTCCTCCCTCTTGGAATGTGTTTGAAAAGACTTAACTAAGCCTTGCCAGATTTTCTGAGTAAAATGGCACAGGGACCTTTTCCTCAGGGAGGCCTCCCACCTGTGGATGCAGGTGTATGGAGAGAACCCTTTACAGCTCCGAGCACGCCAAAATAAAATGACACTTCTGACATCCCCTAGTTTGCTGTGTCCTCAGCAGCAGTTAATACTTCAAATTTCTGAGGGCATTTATTTTACTGGTTCCTACTTAGCACTTAAGCCATTGTGAATGTCCACTCTGAGGCACTCTGACTCGGGGTACTACAGTCAGGCACCTCAAATATACATTCCTAGGAGCTGCTGCTGTGTGGAGGTCCATATGTCCAGCACTGTCTCACTTCATCAAAGGCTTTCACTGACCACAGTGTGGAAGGACTATGACTGTGGCCAGTGATGTAGCACTACCTGTCTGTGGGTCTCTAAGTCTGATGTCTGCCCAAGAAATAATCTTTCCTTGTTTTCTGTTGAACAGTTAAGGAACCTGATTGGAAGGAGCAGATTCTGATAACCTGCAGTGGGTCCCATGGAACAGGCAGCACAGGAGCTCAGACCAGAACCTGCAGATTCTATGCGCTCAGAAGTCAAATGTTACTTCTTTTCCATTACTAGTTCTTAGGAAATTCTTTTGTCAAACACTGGGGGGGGAGAAAGGGGGCAGGTTTTTCCCTGAGCTACACCAATAATGAAATTTCTGCTTAGCATTCCAGGATCCATAACTCCAGGCTGGCTGATTTCGGAGCGAGCTGCCAATGCTGCTAGTTCTGCCATCACGAAGAACGTGGGTCCCTGGTGGACTGTTGGCTGCAGAACAGCAATGACTCATGTTTTGCTATTTTGCAGCAAAAATTCTTCAACTTGCACTGGTCTACAACTCAGACGCTGCACTAACTTCTTTAAACTCCAGTTTTGTGTGAGTGCTGTCTGCTAAAAGGACAACATTGCTAGCCTGGCAAGCTGGCTGCCAGAGCTGTCACTGGAGAGAAAATATGGAATGATATGCCACCTCTTGAGAGCTTTGTGAACTGAAAGCATTACCAACTCAGCTATGCCACGATGCTTGTTAGGAATAGTGTGCTCTTAGTGAGTCAATTCACATTTTCTACATAAAAGGTAGTAAAACCTCTCCCGTTTCCCAGAGTAAAACTTCTGGGGATAACAATAGGTTCCTTCTTTCCCCGCTCTCCCTGCAGGAAACAACAAACCCTCTAGACCTGTTTTACAGCTGAAGTCTGTAACACAAATAAAAACCTGTTCTCACACTAAAGCTAAAATGAAGACTGGAAAAAAATGCAAAGAGCAATCTTTATGCAGTAGAAGGGGAAAAGAAAAAGCACATAGGAAAAAACCCATGTGGTAAGCTGGGTGGAACAGAAGCACACAACGTGCCTGCAGACATACCAGGCCTTACACATTTTATGTGCCCAAGTGCTGGAGTGACTATACAATGTAAGTAGTATTTTTACAGATGTAGGACAGTATTTCCACTGCTACCAGCACTTCATTCCCTCTGTTCATGTGTCAGTGATATAGCATAAAGAGTAGTTCAAAAGAAAGCCATCCCCACTCTGCTTACTTCAGCTTTAGGAAGTGTACTTGGGCTCCATGGAACAAGAACTTAAAATCTCCATAATCAAAATATGGCAGGACACACAGATGTTTTGACAAACATGGTATCTCTTCATATTTGTTTTTAATTTAAAGAATACCATTGTGTGTGAAAATTTGATAACCCTTTAACTCAAGGGAGATGGCAATGGCATCATGTAATAATACCTCAATTCTGGACATGAAAGACAATGAGCATATTTGGGTAGCACAGTCTGTGACATGTGAGCTCCCACCCTTTGCAGACGAAAGTTTGCAGCTTTTCTGGTTCAGAGAACTGACCACAGAATTTCCACTTCAAATTATTATGGAATAAGTGATGCAGTTATATTTAGTGTCTGTTTCCCCCGTATTTCAATGTTTCATTTAAAACAGCTCCAACTCCCCACAAAGTTCCCCCAAAACAGGAGCTGGCTGCTGTTCAGAAATGAGAGAAGTTTACTTCTATCAAAAAGCATGCAGATCTGCCCTACAGTCAGTGCTGCAGCTTCTCTTCTGTTGCTCCACTCGCAGAACCAATTAATATACTGATTTAAAAAAAAAAAACAAACCAAACCCAAACCTAAGCACAACAACAAATGCTCCCTTTTGCATTGCTGTAAACCACATTCATAATTTCAACACTTTCTCTATGGGAACACAGTTTGGCTCCACCCTTCTCCTAGCAATAGCTGACTGATGACCTGCTTGGTTAGACTTACTAGATGTTCATTTCAGAACAGACTGACTCTTGCTGTAATGAGTTTTATCAGTACCACAACTCTCTGGACACATCAACATTGCATAAGTACTTGGTGCAACAATTCTTGAATTAGTGTCCAGTACAGTTCTGCCCAAGACTAGGTCTAGAATCAGCATAGTGACTTTATTTCCCCAAGCTCTGAGCTAGTAACATGGCCACACTGACTCTGCCTCAAGCTGCATCACATGGACAGAGGACTGACCACATGAGGCCCATCCATATGTAGGACTAACGGTCATGATGTTAAGCTCTTCTGCTGATACCACCCTCTGAAAGACAGAGAGGTAATAAGGGGCAACTGCACATAAACATGTCAGTACTCTTGCCTGGCCATGATCTGCTGCTCATCAGTTGTGCTGCTGTTTCATTAAATTTAATTTCCAGCTATGCCTCTGGGTGAGGAGCTCCATTCTGTGTGGGTGATGGGGTTGAGAGCCAACAACTGGTGACAGATCAGGGGTTGCAGGGACCTGTGTATCTGCAGTGCCAGCAGCAGGAGCACCAGGGTGGGTATGACTGTGTGAGCAACAGTGAAACAAGCTGGACTAGATGCTGGGCAGGTGAAGTGGCCTGGGAGGAGCCACTACAGAAGTGTATGACCACTGCAGAGACAAGGAGGGGTCCCGGCCGATGGCCAGGAAGCTGCGTGTGCTCCTGTGCAAGGTGCACTGTGCTGGCAGCTGGAGTGGAGCTCCAGCCTCAGGGTCCAGGTGCAAAAACTGGGGAACACCAGGATAAAGGGGCAGCTACTGGGCAGAGTGAGTGTCTGAGCTTAGCTGCTGCAGCCAGCCACACTGGAACTTTATTTCCATTACTGTTCCATATTTCCATTATTATTATTCCACAAACACAAATACACACACACTGTAATCCTATAAAAATATAAATTTTTTAAAACCTATTACTGGTAAATGGATATTTTATATGTCTATATGATATTATTTTATCTCTCTGTATTCCAGTAACATACTTCATTGCAATCTGCCAGAAAGGGAAACAGGCTGGGGCCACTTGTGCTGTTGATTTTGGTGTTGACTGCATCTGTCTGTGCTGACGTGTGGCCTCCTGAACACACACACATGTCCGTGCTCTGTATGTGTGTTTGTGTGTGAAGCCTGGGAATACATTCGCAGCCTCACTACTGGGAACACAAGGCTCTGGCAGCCCTACTACTGTATTCAGCTCCCCCTAACCTTTATCTTCTCTGGGCCCAGCCTCACCTTCTCCTCATACCAAAAAAAATTCCTTAAATCTTCAAGTAATCCCACTGAGTAAACTGCTAAAAACATTCTAGTAAAATCACATAGGATGTATTTCTGTGCAAGGATGGGAAACACCACAGTGATCTAAAAATCCAACTATCCCAGACCTCAGATTTTCCTCAAACATTTTTCTGTCTTTTGTTTTCACAACCTTCCTCCCACCAGTCTGAGGGGAAAGAAGGCAGCTTTTAAATTTACCTCAGAAATAAAATATCTACCTCAACTGAAGTCATACTAACAGTTTTAGGAAGGAACCCTCCACTTCCAGCATTTCTTATGCAGGTCGTTATTTTATTTTACTTTATTTTATTTAACAGTACTGTATAAGCCTGGTCTTAGACTGCAAAAGATGCAGCAAGGCAGGCTCTTGGTCAGAGCGTGCTCCTGCGGGGCTGGGGCAGAGGCTGCCTGTGCTGCCCTGCCCACCAGTGCCCATCCGCAGGCAGACTCAGGTTCCTCCCGTCACAGGTTTGGGGGATAACATGCACCTATTGCTCTTACAGACTCCCTGGAGCCCGTGAGCTGCAGTGTTTCCACAGGCAACACGGGACGTCCTTCACGACTACAGCAGCCATCCCAAGCAGAGCTTGCCTTCGGCCCCCTGACACCGAGAGGGGCGGGGGCCCCCCGAGGAGCCCGGCGGGGCACAGCCCTCGCAGCAGTGGCAGGTGACAGCTCACTTGTTTGAACCCAGACAGAGAGAAGTCTGCCACGGAGCAGCTCCTGCAGGACTAGGGGAGGAAACAGCTGTCAACTATTTCTTGGATTACAGGGATAAACATATTTCCAGTGATAGCTTTAGGCTGTGTAACTCTCAAATCCTGAACACAATTCAAGGTATTCTTGTCCCAGGAGAGGAGTCAAACTAGAAGGCTTTTGTAAGTTGAAAACTTAAATCTTCCTTGAAACAAGAAATGCATCTCCTGGCATTATTACAGAACTCAGTAAAAGCCAAAATAAACAATAGCATCACTTTTTCAGAGGGAATACAGAGTATGCTGGAGGTTATTGGGTTTTGCTTTATCTGGGAAAGAAGCCGGAAGACACTGCCTGCCTTTGTCAAGCCCTTGAATGGATGCCTTAATACAGATTTCAGCCTCATTGAGCAGGGTACAAATTAACTATCCAAAGGGAACTATAAGAGAAAAAGAGGAAGAATGAACCAGCTCCACAGAGATGATGACTAAACCTAGAGAATAATATTCTTTGAAGAACTAGTTTTCTCATTCTGGTACTTTGAATGATCTTGCTACACAGGAAATGTCGAAGTGTTTTACAGAACAAAAGAGGATGTGACTTAATTTTCTCAGCAAGACATTCAATCTTGTGGATAAAAAAAAAAAAAGCAACAAAATTGCTCCAAACTGTCAAGTTATGTATGGAAACAGTGCCTTGAAGACAAAAAATGGGATCCAGAAAAAGATGGGCAATATATAGTTTATGGAAGAATTCATATCGGTTTTTCCAGCTCTCTAAATGGGAATTCCATAACTTTAACCTTGGGGAAAGAGCACAGGCCGCTAACACAAACAAGAAGGAAGAAGTAAGCTCAGTCAGTGAGTCATAGCCTCTGTGCAAACTTTGCCATACATCTGTGTTTTCCCATGCTGCTCTGAACCCTTGCCTCAGACGCTTGCAATGGACAGAATGCCAAATATGAGCAGATCAAATTGTATTTTTCCACCCTGGGTTTCTTTTTCAACACAAAAAAGCACCCGCAGGGGACTAGAGCTGGCACTTGCAGAGGAACCGAGCAGTGTCCCTGGGTCTAAAACTCACTTACTAAAATTTCCAGGTCCTTCAAACAGGGCCTCCAGCCTGCAGAAATTAACTTCTGTCTCCCTAAGGCTGTGCTGGAAATTCCAGGGGAAGATGGGAATAAACAAAGCAAGTGGTCACTTTTAATACCTTCCACCTGCTGTCTCAGCGGGCTAAGGCATGAGCCCTGCCCACTGGAGGAGGCAGGATGGAAGACCCTGCTGAGCATTGCTCCAATGGAGGGCTGTCATCCTGGCCAAAATTCAGCTCCTTGGGCATCCAAACCAAAGTTTGTCAGTTACACGTTATATTTATGACCAGAAAATATATGGAGTGCCTTGGTATTCAAAAGCGAAGGTGTGGAAAAGAGCTCAAAGCCTGTCTGCTGGTAGAGCAGAAGAGACTAGATGCCTAACACATTATCCTCTGTCACATTGGTGCCCATCCCCACCTTGGTTTTGCCTCCACAAACAGGAACTGCTGCGTAGCATGCAATGGCCATTTTTGTACCTTCCTCGTCACAGCTAACTTGTGGTCATCCCTCTCTTTTTCTGGGACAAACCAAGGATAAAGGTGAAGTACTGGGCATTGATGGCTTCCTTCTCTCCTCCCATGGACGTACAAGTAGCACTCAAGATAGGGACAGAAGGAGCAGCCAAGCTGCCATGGTGCACTACCACAGTCCCTTACCCCCTTCATGCCTACATGTGCTCCTTGTTCTTGGTACACGCAGGGAACTGCAAACCACCATCCTGTCCACAGGGAGCCTGGGCTGGGCTGCAGTGGAGGCATTTTTGAAGCAGAGGAAATGCCAGTAGTCTTGCAACCAGATGCTCTGAGCTCAAAGTACATGAGACAAACCATTCATCCAGTGCCTGTGAGACAACAACAGAAAAAAGCTTACCTGGCTGGTCATAGGATGCCCACGCTAGGTTTTCTCCACATTTCCCATTAGCAGACTCAGAGCTGTGTTTGAGGACCCTCGTGGTAGCCAGTTCTTCTGCATACCTAGCACAGAAATCCACTTATTGAGTCACAGACCACAGCTACAGTAAGCAGAGAGGAGGAGAAGCAAGAGGAAGGGGAGGAGATTCAGGGAAGGAATTTTCCTGGAAGATGATGGTTTAAGTCAAGTTACTCAGCTGCAAAGCCCTGAAGCCAAGGATGCTTTAGGCTTACATAAATCTAGGAGTGAGGGAAA